TTTGCGATGTTTGACATGTTTATATTTAACGTTTAGTTTTATAGTTTTACTATGTTATAACTTTGGATAATGTATTTTTGGTACCTTTGAAATATATAATATACTAGTTCCGGCCCCTACGGTTAGAAGGTTTGTGTTCCCCCCCTGTTGGCATCGGTATAAATTGTTTATCCAAACATTCAAAAGTGTTTATTATCAATATTACACCAAAATAAGTCAATAAATTATTTTTATAAACAATCTCAAACACCCCTAATATATGGTTCTTGAAATCTTACACTCGGATTGGATCACATCCCATCAAATTGAATAAATGATCCTATTAAAGTATTAAATTACACCAAAATTTAAAATTTTGTATTATGGTAAACCAATCAATTTATGTATCAATCAATTTATATTTAATCGGTACCAATCTAATTGGTTGGCAGTATTGTTCTAATATTTAAACTTGGTTGGTATGGAATGTTAGAAGTCGTGTACCATGATAATACTGGCTTATTTTTTAGGAGTAAACTCTAATTTTGATCTTTTAAGTTTAATAAAATCTTTGAAAGTGAGACCTAACATTTGACTGGTTTAAAAATCGTCATTGATATTCTCATTTTGCTTTGAATGGTCCTTGGTCACTAAGGGGCTGTTTGTTTTTAATAAAAAAACTCTTAATGTCCTCTTAAGTCTGAATCGGTCAGACATAAGAGGATTCAGTGTGTTTTTTTTCTTCAATTAAGAGCTTAAAAACTCTTATTAGGTCTGAAAATTTAAGTGGTTGCGAAACCTCTTATTACCTCTTATTTCAAATTGTCGCCTACCTACTCTGATCCCTTTGCGCTCGATTTCTTTAGATCAACTCTTCTGTCTCGATCTCTCATCTCTCAACTTTGTCAATTGTCGATCCATATCAACTCTCGATCTCTCATCTTCAAACTTCAGATTTCAGACGCAAAAAACAAACAGTCTAACTGATTCAGATTTCAGACTTCAGCACCACCTCTTAAAAATCAGAAGTGAATTCAGACTTCAGACTTCAGCACCTCTTAAAAAACAAACGCCACCTAACTCTCTTAGAGTAAGAGACAGTTTAGTCTTTTTACCTATCTTCTTAATAACTTTAAAAATAGAATATATAATATAATTCTTTATATTATATATATATATATATATATATATATATATATTTTATATCTATTTAAGTAACGATATTAAATTAAGAATCTATAATTTAAGAGACAATAGTAATATATAAATTTTAAAATATATATAAATTTAATTTATAAAATATAACATATAATTTCAGAAACAATATTTAAGTTATATAACTTTTTAAAAATATTTAAGATTGTAGGTAAAAATACTAAACCACCCCTCACTCTAACGAAGATTCTTAAGGGTGTGTATGGTGTTCAGATAGAACAAGACATGACAGAACAAAACAACTGTTTAATGTTTGGTAAGATAAAACTGGACATAACAGAATAAGTAAAATAACCAATTTACCTCTAATGAGTTGTTTATTTTAATTAATTTATGTAATTTATCAAATTATAATAAAATAATTATTTCTTATAACAAAATATATCATTAGAAAGTTTTCATCAAAATAATTAAAATGACACCACATAAAAAGTTTACGTAGTTTCCAATTTTTAATTTTTATCTCTTTACAACATTATTTTTTATTATTAATATACAATAAATTACGTAAATTAATAAAAATATAGAGACCGTATAAAAATAATATTTTGAGAACAGTAAAATAAAAGTTTAAGAAACATAAAATTCAATAAATAAAATTTAAAGAAATAAATAAAATGTAAAAAAATACCTATTTGATGTTTTAGAAGAGAATTAAGTTTTATTTTGAGGTTGTGTTGGTAAAATACAAGTCTGTTTCACCTTGTTCCACCATGTTCCATGGGGTAGGGGTGGAACAGGTCTGCTCCACTTTGTTCCATTCTCTTTTTGTCTGTTCCACATAAAAATCATGTCAAACATGGGACGAGGATATCTGTCATGTTCTGTCATGTCCAGTCCAATTTACCAAACGTACCCTAAGGGAGTTAGTAATAAGGGCACTTTCAAATCAAAATGAAAATCACTAGGACGATTTCTAAACTTATCAAAATATTGGTCATACTTTCAAATATTTCACTAAACCTAGGAACCAAAGTTACAGTTTACTTTTTTTTCTAATTATTTATTAATTTAAATTTTAAAACAATGATACAAACATATTTTTATTTTTATTTTTAATTATCTCATTTTCAATTTTACTAAATTATAATATTGATGGATATACAAAACTTGATTGAATACGTTCGCTTAACTTTTTCAACTTTAGTACCTTGTCTAACACCTTTACGGTCCATCATCGCTTCTCAATGCCCGCTATTATTAGAATAATGGTGAACGTTTGTATTATATGAAAGTTATTTGAGTGCTTGTATATGTAGGAATAAGTGGTATAACACATATCCGCATCATATTCAAATGCTCCATGGTAAAGATATCAATATAAATAAACTTGTAACTTCAACTTTTATGATGTTGTATAAAACCGTACCAACATGTAAAAATTGAAAAAAGTTAGTAACAAGTATAGTTGATTGGTACATGGTATTAAATTTTACATACCATTTACATCTAACTCTAACAGTTACTCTATTTTAACAATTCTAATATTAATTATGTTATAAAATATTTCATAAATTCATCATTTCAGTACACTTTTTACAGAACTTTTGAAAGAAATTATAACGCATTCAACTTCATTAATCAAAACAATTAAAATAATATATTTCTCTCTAAAAATTTAGGAATTTCTACTTGTCTTTCTGGTACAAAATTTACATGATCTAAATCTGTTGAGACAGGAGGACAAGCAAGCCTTGAGGGCCGACTAGTATTTCGTTAAGGAAACTGATCAATCCAAACCAAACCACTGGAGTCACATCGACTCCACCGAGGGGCGGAATCACCTTCCGTGTCACCGTCAAAATCGGCTCCGTAGGGGCGTATGCGACTACATACGGAAATTTCCCAACCGGGAGCTTTGGATACCACGACATGACAATTCTTGCAATGAACAGGAACGAAAATGCTGACAGAAAAGGACCCAATATAGCTATCGCCAACTTAGCCGTACCCTGGTCTATATCCATCAGAACCAACCTTTGCATATACTCTGGTATGCCATCTGATGCATTTCTTCTGTTTAGGATCAAATGATTCCAGTTACAGACGAAAATCAGCCAAAATGACCATAAAGCTGCGTTTGGTACTAGACAAGACTAGACAGAACTGAGTGGACGGGTTATACATACATAAGCTCTGCAGAGTCGACTGAAGCTGATACGGGGATATTGATGCCAGAAACTGCAACTTCTAGAAGAGAACATGCTCGATATCTTTGAACCCTCTGATTAGGGACTCGTTTTGTTGGGCATATGAATCTTCTCTGTAAAAGGAGAGAATACGCATGTGTTTTAAGAGCATATATATCTGTTCGCTATGAATTTTGAGGTTGAATGAACTGTTTTTCAACTCCAATATATGGGATTGTTTAAACACCCAACAAACGATGATTTCGTTGAATTCTATAGCAATTAGCGAATAACAGATAGTATCTTGGCAATGCATTCTTTCACACAAACCAATTTTGTGAATCTGATGGTTAAACTAAGATCATAAAGGCATTAAAGCAATGCCATTTTGGCACAGCAGCCTATTACTATAATGATGCAAAAAAAAGGCAGGTGTGTTCATAGGGCTTGTAACTGGTAACCCCTGAGCTGGCCCCACATCACCCTGCCCAAAAGCATCATGTGAGAGGCAAATCAGGTGCATAGTTGTCCGCTAGGTGGCCAACTTAAAAGTATAGTGCACATAAGGACCCCAATCCCCAGAGAATTGTAACTCCCACACTAGAACTCTCAGACTCGAATCATCGTCAGTTTGTGCAAGTATACCAACTGAGCTACACCCCGAACGTTTGGACCCAGCTATGATAATTATATTACGAAGTGCTTCTTCGACTCATAAATCACAGTTTTCGTGACAATTATGACAGAAGCAGAAGGTCACATTTTCACAGAATCCTTCCTCTTGGTTGTTGAACAAATTGTTGAAATTTCTATTTGTATATAAAGGGTATTGATCTTAAAACATTGAACTGTAACCACCATATTTTTTTTTTCAATGTTTGATGCATAGAAATTAAATGCTATGATCTCATTTTTCAATGTTTGATGCATAGAAATTAAATGCTATGATCTCATAAGAATTTCCTTCTTAACTTCACCATTCATGAACTGACCAAACTTGCGAAGAACAGGTAACTACTGGCTCATTCCAGTTGCATATGAGCACACATAAACAAAGAGATGGAGAATTTGCTTACAGGGAAGAACGAATTTGATCCGGTTGGGGATGAAATTAGGCGTAGTGGTACTGAATAACCTGGAAAACAGCAAAAAGAGCAGCAGATTCTGAGACGACATGTTAATCAAAAGATGAATGCTTAAACAATTATTATACCTAATGACTGAATTGAGTGTAATCAAAATAGGGGAAACGTAAACCCTAATTACTGAATGGAGTGTAATGATTACACCTTTGGTATGAATTGCACAAGAAGATAGAGCCATTGAATCGAAATTGGAACAAAGTATGATAAGAGTTAGCAGTGTCCAAAGAGAATGGAAGGTTATCCTGATATTGTACGGTCCTGTCAAGTCCGACCGGGTCTAACCACTACATGATCCACGATCAAGACTCATGAGAGGTTCAGATCATGAGGTTGTTTGATAATTATTGAATGATTTGATGTAAAATAATTAAATTATTAAAATAATTAAGAAGTTTTTATGATATAGTGCAAAATGAAATATAATTGATTGGTAATTGTAAATAATGAAATTAAGGCTCTTAATGGTTAAGAAAAATACATAATACAAAATCATTCAGAGGGTTTTAGAATCATTAAAAGACAGATTTTTTTTACCAAACAAGATTCACCTCTTAACGATTCAGAGGTTGCCTCTTAATGAAACTATTAAGAAGTAAACAAACAACCCACAAGTACTCAGAACAGGTTACCTATTAATGGGTGAGCCGGGTTTTTTAATAAAAAAAAACCAGTAATTCAAAAGATTCTCTAAAATAGAAAAAATTTGGAGATTTTTATTTCGGAAGATTTCATAAAATGAAATTTTCCGAAATTTTATGAAATCTTCCGAAATAAAAAAATGGACCGGTTCTTTTAGAAATGGTGCGGAAAAAATGCAAGTAAATAATTGAAAATAAATAAAAAATAGATTATGATTGAAAAAAATTAGTTTATAAAATATATAGGAAAGAAAAATCTGACCCTGACAGAGTCAGGAATTTCTTTAAATATGTTCATGAATGGAGATGTTATAATAATAGTCGGTCCTTTGGTCCATCTAATTGGAACAACACTATCCATACTATGTTATAAAACATTTGACAAAAACTATTAAAAACCATTTTTTATGTATGAAATACTGTTTATTGATGCATATTACTTAAAATTTAAGATTACAAATAAAGTATGCGTAAGTACAACTTATTAAAACTCCATGTTTGAATTCGTGTAACTAACTGCAGATGAACATAATTAAATATATGATAAACATTTCATTTTATATATAAAAAATCTAAAATGTAATTAGAATAATCATTAAGATCTAACATAATACTTAATTACAATATTTATAAAATTTTATTATTAAATCTAAATTAAATTACTTCATTACATTAAATTAAATTATAATAAAAAAAATTGAATTAAAGAAAATTACACAAAACAAGAACTTTTAAATAGCTAATTTGATATTAATATCGATATAGATTTTTCAAAATTTTATGATATTTTATTCAAAAATTAAAACATTATCTCTTTCTCAAAAACACATAAAACTACATTATATCAACAAAGATAAAGAATAAAACGAAATGTTGAAGTCAAGATATGTCTCGATGCATTGCACGAATACCCTTCTGATTAGTAACTAACTTATTTGTTCTTATAATATCTTATATTAAATATTTCTTTTTATAACATCATTAATTAAGGAAAAGATAAAAAAAATCATATTAACGGTAAATCTGTTGATCAATCGAAGCTTGCATGTTATATACAAATTGTTGTTTGACAGTTGCTGAATGGTTTGGTACAGAATAATTAAGAAGCTTTCATGATATAGTGCAAAATGAAATATAATTGTTCGATAATTGTTTACAATGGAATTTGGGTGCTGAATGGTTAAAAGAGACCCATGATACAAAATCATTCAGAAGGTTTTAGAACTATTAAGAGACATATCTTTTTTTTGTCAAACAAGATTCACCTCTTAACGATTTAGAGACTACCTCTTAATGAAACTATTAAGAGGTAAACAAATAAATCCTTAGGGTGCGTTTGGTACGTAGACTGGGTGGGACGGGACGGGACGGGACAAAAATAAATAGTGCCATGTTTGGCACGCCATGGGACAAAAATAAGGTTGGACAACATTAGACAAAAATGAGTTTTCATGGACTATTTTTGAGTTTTTTTGTTCCACCAAAAAAGGTGGAATAACATGGGACTAAACCTTGATATTACAATTTTACCCTTATTAAATCACATCAGGTACAAAACCTAATTATAAACTCCATCGCCTCCCATCTTTCTTCATCTTGCAGCTTGATTATGGCCTCCATCTTCCACGAACTCCAAATCGATTCCACACTCCGACTTCCACGAGCTCAAACTTTTTTTTTTTTGTAAGGGTGTCCGGGCCAAAGCCCGACTAATCCCCGGCAATTTTGGAGGCTAAGCATGACCCCACTTAAATGTCGCCAACACTCCCCTCCCAGGGCTCGAACTCGGGTTCATGACTATGCCATGCCCAAGCCTTTACCACTAGGTTGGAAGGCTCAAACTTGATTCCAGATTCGGGTAAAATTTCTTCTCTATCTTCCATGATTGTCGATTTCTCCATAATTTCCTACACCAAATCGATTTCACGAACTCGATTCCACGAACTCCAGCTTCCACCAAATCGATTTCTTCATACTTTCCATGGTTATCAATTTCACGAACTCCAGCTTCCACCAAATCGATTTCACGAACTCAATTCCACGAACTCTAGCTTCCACCAAATCGATTTCACGAACTCGATTCCACGAACTCGATTCCACGAACTCGAAATCAGTTTTTCGAATCGATTGGCTACTGTTGCTTTCTTTGTGATTTTGATTGGCTACTATTGTTTCGAGAGTCGATTGTGTTTGTTTCATTGATCTGTAAACTATAGCTTTTAATTTATGATGGAATTGAATTGTTTCTTTTCGAAATCGATTGGCTACTTCGATGATGCTTTGTGAGTTTTCATGGGACTATGAATACAGAGTAGAAAGCACCATTACTGTAGATTTTAGCATTTGCATATCATGATGGTGATGGTGATGTTCATGTGAGAATTTATTGGCATAAGCTTTATTATTTGATCAATAATAACATTAAACAACATTTAGGGGCAATCGGGTCATTTTAACAGTTTTGTCCTGTTCCGTCCAACTTACCAAACGCATGACAAACAATTAGTCCAATATTGTTCTAGTCGTACCAAACGTAGATAAGACAATTAGTCTTGTCATGTCTTGTCCCGTCCCGTTTGCGTACCAAACGCTATCTTAGAAATCAAAACAATTTTTGAGTTAAACTATTGCATGAATATTTTTGCCAAGTGTTTTACAAGTATTTGGAAGGAAAACCCTACGACCATTAGAATTTAGACATCACAAAATTGACCTGAGTCTCTTCCAACTGAACCCGGTTGTAATCGGATCTGACCGGCCCGGGTCGATCTGCGCGGTTTGGGAAGTGAAGATCAAAAGTGCATAGTTGCGATAAATCCTTTAATTAATGCACAAAGGATTGTTCCCTTTTGACTTGGGATGCCCCAAATTAGGAGATTAATTCAATTCTCCCTTGTTGTCAACGATTCTGTAAAGATTTTGCTAAACCATTCAACTCTTCCAATTTTCAACCCGGATTCTTTGGTTTAGTATTCATCATAAACAAGATTAGAGAGAGCTTCTTCTTGATGTGATTGAATTCGTTGAAGAAGGGTCGACGTCTGAAACTTTAAGCGTTTCCCATGGATTTGACGGATTCAGCTCCCTCGATACGACCCTCCTCTGACTCCATCCCTCTTCCCTCCGGCTCCGCTCCACGACAGGTAATTCTCACTCAAGTTATGCAGATACAGTGTTCGTTTTTGCTCAGCATCGGGGAATATGATAAATCTTGTTTTGTTTTTCTACTCTTATTTGTGTTTGGTTTTATGATTTTTATGCCTTTGAGTTTGATTGACATAGGTCAACGTGAAGAAATTTAGAAGAATATGTAATCAAGCTCAAGCATATGGTTTTTTGCTAATTTTCTTGTGGTTCTTCTAGTTGTCAATGTTGTGTTTAGGAAAAGGGATATGATTTTGTTGATTCATACGTAACTGGAAAACATTATTGTATTGTAATGTTGTTCCTTCATTGACCTTTTCTAGCGGCTTGCAAAATCGACTTCTACTCCTCGATTTCCTCTGATTGCTACTTCCATGCTGTTTGATCTTTATGTTTTATTTGGGTTTATGATGTAGATTTACTTCCCCCAAATTGGAAGTCTTGTTAGCCAAATAATCAACAGTAAAATGAAACCTACAAACTGTTTATAGTACAATTCGATACATGGGGATTGATTAATTTTAGTTCAAATAGTGACTGTAGTATGAACTTTTGAACACAAGCGGAATTCCAACTTATTTAGTTCCCGTTTTGAACAGAATTTTCGGTTTAGCTTATGAAATTTGGATTTGCATGCATACCCTAAATAATCTGCAGAGTTATTAGCTACTTGCTAGTGAGGGTGGTTAGATCTTGTATCTGGACTTGTCTTCACAAGCGTTTCCCTATTTTGGCAAGATCAACCTTGCAAAGCTTCAGTCTCTTCAGTTTCTTTTCAAGTGAGTGCAGTTCTCATATGATAAGCACTTCCATGGCATGGTTGTGGGTTCCACGGAGTAAGTAAACTAGGACTTTCTACTTTCTAGCATATGGACCATTTGGATACCACTTCAATATCAGATTGATTTCAGATCTATGTCCAATGTAACATAGACTTTGCGATTAAAAGGCTAATAGCTGATTTGTGATGGTAGGAATGATTCAGCGGCCTGAGTATGGACTCTGGTCTTTGGCAGGGATCCGTTTTGAACGGGAAAACATGTTCTTAACTAATCTAAGTTGTTGGAGAATAATCACATACCTAGCTTCTTTTGTCAATTTTATTTGTATTATCTCCATAGTAGAATATTACTTTATGAAGTGGCTATAGGCATCAAACTTTGTGTTAATGACCAATGAACTCGTTCTGCATCAAACTGTTTCTAAGAATCTTAATCCTTACTTCCAACAATGTAGAAGAAAAATGGTCAAATTTCCATAACGTCTTTATTGGTTTAAAGTGGATACAAACGATTTATATAAGTGGCATTGTTATTATCTTTGTGGTGGTTGGGGAACTTTCTTATTACTGATGCATCATTTGCATTTCTTTTGGTCTTTGAAGTGCATCCCTTATAACATCAATGCAGGTGCTTTCATTCTCACCACCTCATAGTTCTGTTATAAGCTTAGTTGATGTCCGATTACAATTTCAAAACTTTTCATGGAATATCCTTTAAATTCAACTAACTTGTAATATTTCTTAAGGTAGTTTTAAGTAGTTTCATTTCAAAACTTGAAACATAATGTAGCATGACTAATTATTTTAGGAGGATAGTTATGAAACAGAACTTATATCAAGACAGTACTAATTATTTTATTTTCTGAAAAACAAGTTAATCACATGTACCTTTTTGCACCTAGTCTCTCATTTTTAGTAAGCAGCCACCTATCTAATACTTTCTATTTGCAAATTTCCTTTTAGGAGGATCATTATGTAGCATCCATAATTGAAGAACATGAGACAACTTGCTGGGGATGTGGATTGCGGCTTGTTATTTCACCTTATGCACCGATTTTCAAGTGTGGTTGGTGTGGAGCCATAACTAATCACAATGCACGTAAATTCAATAACAAGTACTTTTGGTTGAGACGTCTTCGAGACCGGAGTTTTGTCAGTATTCTCCTGCTATTTATGCTTTTCATTATAGGTAACTTTAGCTTCCATAATTCATTTCCTTAGGAACTACCTAATTTCCCCTCTGTGCATCATGTATCAGAATGGTATCTTTTCCACCTTCCTACAAAAACTTTTTAACAGATTACTTATTTATGGTTCATCACCCACAACTTCTATGCTGCTAACCTTTTCTTCTATTTGATGGTAGAATGGAGGCTGGAAAAAGAAACCTAGAGAATCTTTTGTGTTGGATGTTTCTGCTTTTTCTTTTTTGAACATGTAGATTTTTCATTACTAATTTATTGTTTTCAAAGTTTCTATGATAACAGTAGATGCCCAATACAAGATTCTACAAGTTTTTACGATTTCAGATATTTCTACTTAATATACTGAGAGACTAATAATTGAAAGCTGTTGGTCGTCTAATTTTTACTCTATATGTGCTTTTGTAACTCAAGAATGAATTCCATAGACAACTTTGAACAAATTTCTGGAACACTAAGACTGTTAACTTAATGTACTGTGCACGATGATATCTCCAAGATTTGCTTGTAATCTTGCCTCGCCTTCAAGCCACTACAAGATTCATGTTACTAATGGAATATGGTAACCCCCTTATAAATAAGATATGTGAGCCTAAAGTCCTTACGTGAAAATTTCTTATTGTATAAAGCCTTATATCCAAATATCAAGGAATGCTAGTGTTATCATGAGAGCCTGTTTGTTAGGAGACAGATTACAATTTGTGCCATATGTAATCAAGGAATCCCTATAGTTTGGTACTTCCCATATCTCTCACACAACTTGGTCTCACTATAATTTCAGTTTGGTAAATTAATAACCAATCGTCTTTCTTGTCAATGTAAACCAAAGCAGAAAGAATAAGATTGATGGAGAACTATTAAGGTGTCTCAAGATTGTAGACCAGTGTTGTAAGAATTGCCACTTAGCCTGCTTAAGCGGCCACCTATGCGCCTAGCATCCCTCCACTGGTTCTATTGGTCATGTCTGCTTATCGGTCGTTTAGGGGTTAAAGGTCCCCCATCGCTTTGACTAGCTAGTTAATTGTGGGATTAGGCATTTCTAAAAATTAAGTGGGAATTAGTACACTTTATTCTGTTTGTGTTCATCGATCAACTTTTCTGAACTTGGAAGGATTCATCTCAATCCTTTTTGATCGATCAACTTCTTTATATTTGCTCCACTCCTTACTGTTTCCCTTTCAGCTAACTGTGATTTTCACTGATCTCTTGATGCTAGTTTATGAATCTCTTACAATATCTGTAACTGAACTTACAGGTAGCGGTGTTTGGGCTATTTATCCTGTCATCGTTTCAATGAGTTATTTCTTTGGCATATTTCATTCGATTATGGTGATTATCTTGTCAATAACCACACTTTCAACTTACATCCTTGCTGCATTTCGGTCTCCTGGTGCACCACCGCTTATATCTTGGGGCAGCTATCCTGCCGTGGGAAGAGGTGCTCTCGGGGATTACACTTTTTGTCAATTGTGTTCAAAGCCAAAGTCACCTAACGCTCATCACTGCCGTTCATGTGGAATGTGTGTATTGGACATGGATCATCATTGCCCATTTGTAAGTGTTCATCTACATATATGATGCTAAATGCTTGTAAGAAGGGATAATCACAAATATAGCCAAAATTGGAGTTTACCGTCACAAGTTGACCAACTTTTTCCATATTAGCACAAAATAACCACTTATTTCGCAACAAAAAAACATGAGCAAAAACCCTTTTTTTAGATCAATACTTTTTTAGATCTTTTTCGACTTTTGTGGGCCCATTTCGCGAAGGAAGGTAAGAAAAACCCTTTTTTTTGAAATTTTAGGTGTTGCTCATGCCTTGGCGAAATGGGACCACAGACCAAAAAAATAAGTCAAATATTACATTCAGCAAAAAGTTTTTTTTTTTTTTTTTTTTTTGTGCAAAATAGGTGGTTAATTTTGTTAATTTGGAAAAAATTAGGTCATTTTGTAACGGGTCTAATTCCAATTGTAAGTTTGAAATTTAAAAGTGGACCTTTTCTGGGAGAGTTTGGGTGTGATGAAAACATACTGAAATTTGGTTGTATATATTCCAGATTGGTAATTGTGTTGGGGCGGGAAATCATCGGAGCTTCATCCTCTTCCTCATGTCAGCAGTCGCCAGTACTTTCTATGTTTCGATTATATCTTCGTACGTAGCTTATCAAATCTGGCCGCCATTACGACACATTCCTACGGCTGTTTTGAGTAGGTCGACCGTTGTTTCAGTCCTAACTGAACGAACGTTCGCTTTCCTCATATCCGTAGAATATTTACCCATCAGAGGTTTTGTACTCATTTACCTATTCTTTGCAAGCATTTCTGTTGAAATCGGTTTGGCCGTGCTTTTGTGGCAACAACTATGCTACATATACGAAGGGAAAACGTACCTGAGTCAGTTAAGTTCACACAATGACGTCGACGAAAAAGACTGCCAAAACATTGTAAGGTTCTTTGGTTTCCCTTATCCTGCAACGCGATATGTGCTTAGTATTTGGAATTCTAAGAAGAGCCACAAAAAGTGAATGTATACTTAGAGAAGGGATTAGTGGTTGTATCGTATGATTGTATCGTATGATTGTATCATTCTTAGAGTTATATATACATGCATCATTCATAAATTCCATAGTGTCTGAATGTGGATTGAATTAGATTTCTTGTTTTCAACTCGTGTCGGTTAAGACCAACGACTAGTTATGTGTTCGGTTGTTACCTGGGCGAGGATGAACCAAAAACACGAGAAAGCTAGGAATCGATTTGAAGCGTATGCCAATGGATAACTGTAACGCCCCATGTCCTTATATATGTTTGGTGTCGTTACTTTACATGATAAAACTATTAAATCTTGAATTTGGACTTGAAATTCAACTATATTTATAACATATCTTGAAATTACATCAAAGGAGAAAGTACTTAGCTGAAACGTAACCATAACTTGTATTACAACAAAACTTGCTTATTGACTAAAACCATACTACTTTATGCAAATCCTCTTTACTTTTTTCCTGAGATACATACATGAGATATATAAGCTATAAGCTTAGTGAGTATTTATGGTTTCATGAATAAACAATTTTCATGATGCTTAACATCTTGTGAATAGTAATTCGTTAAAGCTCTTGATCATGTATAAAAATATTCTTTTTATTATGCATAAACATTCATAAAATACTATTCTTTATTATGCGTAAAATGTTCTTTTGAGATCTCACTTGTCACATGCATATATACTATACTTGTCTTGAGGTTTGCTAACCCCCGGGTCCATAAAAGGCTGCCGTATAAGGTCCGTTTGCAAGACGTTCCTTCTTGTAGTATCCCATACGTTGGATATTATGGTTATACATAACATGTAAAAAATTTCATGCCTTGTGTAACACATATGAATATGATAGCATGTAATCGATTTTCATGTCTTGTGTGTATACTTGTATTAGAACATGTCATCATGCATATCTTGAATATGTATGTGTATCAATATTTTCATGTAAAACAAGCATGCCAACATAGCTTGTAATGCATAAAATACTTTTATATATAGCGTGCATGTATCTCATAAATCACATAAGTACTCACCTTGATTTGCCTACTTTTTCTTTTGATTCATTTCTTCAAGCTTAATTATGTATACATAGAAAAATTTCTTATTTTTTTGGTATGCATAAATAGTGACCCTTAAATCCCTATTTATAGATAAATTCATTGCATTAACTACTTGTTCATTTTGTTCTCAAGATTGTACTCTTATGAGAGTTTGACACCTCATCAATAAAGATAAGAGAATCTTGACAACTCATCTCTAAGGATAAGAGAATCTATACAACCCATGCTTCTGGTATTCCTTGTCATGCTTCTTAGACTTGTCTTGTAACCAATAGTCTTGTCAACTCATATTTTTTTAGCCTAAACAACTCATCACTAGATTGCTTATTCATGCTTATTAGACTTGCCAACACACTTCTAACCTTAACAACTCATCACTAGATTACTTAGTCATGCTTACTAGACTTGTCAACACACTTCTAGTTCTAGCCTTAACAACTTATCACTAGCTTGCTTAATCATGCTTACTAGACTGCCAACACACTTCTAGCCTTAACTACTCATCACTAGCTTGTTTAGTCTTATAATGAAGATGTTTCACTAAATGTAACAGTTGCTGGAGTACTTGAATTATTCATAATTATTTGCATTTAAAGCTAAAATATTGAGTTTTATCAAATAAGGAAACTAGGGTGTTACAATAACGCTATTTGAAGTTTGAACATTCACAACGAAGCTTTTTGGAGGGCTTCCATGGTGGAGGATCTTAAAAAACCTTCTTTTTCTACCAACGATGTTAAAAAAATGAATTCTTTTAAGAAGATGTGACCGGCAAAAACTCATGTTTTCACAATGGATGTTCTTTCTGTTCATATAATAACCTTAACAGGAACATCTCCATCGTAGATATTTTGCTTCTGGGTCCCACTTTTTAATGGAAAAGTCCACCATCACAAATATTCTAAATTGTGCCAGTGACCTTGTACATTACAAATGTCCATTTCATCCATTTTTCTCCTAATCTTCTCCGAATAATCGTACTCACCGACACTCGTCGGTCGTCGCCTGCCATCAGTTCCATCACACTATCAGTTTATCACAGTGGGTGGCGAGACTGCCGAGACACATCAGTTCCATCAAATTGGTTTTGGGATGTGACTTGTGAGCGAGTGAAGAAGAGCCGAAGAGGCAGTAGGTGGTACCATGGTGAACACTGATACAAAAACGAATGGAACCCTCCTTATTTTGCCTTTTTCCTTCGATCACCACAACCTTTTCCGCTTTTCTGAAAAAATTTGAATTTTGAAAAATAATTAAAGACTTCTTGTATTGTTGTGTGCGCTTAAGGTATCAATTATCCACTTCAATCCAAAGGAATCAGTCATTTAGGTGTTTTCCTTCTAGTTATCCTCTTAAATTTGATCTTTTCTTGAATTTTGCATATTTGGTGAATCTATTCTTGAATCTGATTTGGTTTAGCCTTTAGGTAAGCCGTTATTTCACTATTTCGTATTTGGTGAATCTTGATCCTTGAGTTTGATTTGTGTAATTACATATTTAGTGATTGTTTGGCTGTTTGAACAATTTGGTTTGATCAAGTATGTTTCCTAGATCACAACTCAAAATAGAAAAGGCAAGAAATTGCTCCATTTTTACATGGATCGCTAAATAAATTTGTTGTGAGGCAAGAAAAACCCATTGAAAATGCTAGTTCTTATGATAATGTGGAAAATCTCATTGACGAAGAACTTGTTGTTGATCCCAATTCTAATGACTTTGTTGAAAATCTTGATGAATAACCCCATGTTGGCAATCCTAACTCTAATAACTTTGATGAGCCTAATTTAAATATTTTTAAGCCGTGTTTGAGATAATTTAAACTCAAAACTGAAGTATTTGCTTAAAGAAAAAGGATCTGTTAGAGAAACTAACATCGTTTTTTCAAAAGATTATCAAAATAGACATTTTTCTTGTACCCATTATATTCATACGCTACAAAATGGTGAATGTTATGATCGGAAATGGTTGGTTTACTCCAAAGACTTGGATAAAGTTTTTTGCTTTTGTTGCAAATTATTCAAAAAGGCTCAATCAAAGAAGTCAATTAGCAAGTGATGGACTTAATGAGTGTGAAAGGTGGATATGTTCCCACACGTGTTGCTTGCCTACAAGATTTTGTTAACCATACCAGTGACGGTAGCATCCACCGAAAGAAGTTTTTCAAAATTAAAGCTATTGAAGTCATATTTGCAGACTACCATGAGCCAAGAGAGTCTTAACGGGTTAGCAATTTTGAGCATCGAAAGTAAGTTTTTAGCAAAGATTGACTATGATAGATTAATTGAAGATTTTGCTTCACGAAGTACACGAAGACACCATTTTAGATGAATAGGTAATCTTATATTTGTGTTGTTGTTCAAGGTTTTGGTTTATGTCCCCCGTTGTAACTTTTTTTTTCCGATAATAACCGGTGTAGACATGAGCCGCCTAGCTTGACCAGGTTCAAAACCCCTTAAAAATTTGTATCTTCTTGAGTTCTTGGTTCATTGCAGTAGGGACATTTTTAGCTATCCGTCCAAGACATCCAAAACCATTGGACCAGCCTTGTACGCAGCCACATCTGTGGGTACCTCCAAAGCCATTTTTTCAGCTTCTTGGAGCCTGCCTGCTCTAGCCAACAGGTCAACCAAACACCCGTAATGCTTTGTATCGGGAAGGATACCAGAATCGTCCACCATTTTCTTGAAAAGCACCAACCCTTCTTTAACTAATCCGCCATGGCTGCAAGCACTTGAATGCTCAAGAAAGTAATCCGATTAGGCTTCATGCCCACTTCCTCCATTCTTTTAAAACTACCCACAGCTTCCCTTGCCATTCCATGCATTGCAAACACAAAGATCACGGACGTCCATGACACTAGATTCCTTTTCTCACTTGCTATACCCTCGAAAACTCGCAAAGCATTCTCTACACTTCCGCATCTTGAATACACGTCAATTAGGGCATTCGTAACGCGGATATCTGTCACATAATATCCGCTTTTCTTGTGATAACCAGATCCTGGTTATTACCCAAGGTATTTGATACGTGAATATCTGATTAATAATTT